GCAGGTAAGAGAGGGCGCCCCCGCGGCAGCCCCCCGGCCGCGCCCTCAGGGGCAGAGGGGGGAGGGGGAGGGGCGCTCGGAGACGGACGGTGCCGGCGTCGGGCAGAAGCGGGGCTGCAGAGGGACCCCCGGGGGCACCTCGTCTAACCGCCCGGCCCGAGGCAGCGTCAGCCCCAGCCACAGCATCCCACACAGGGTTGACGGTAGAGTTTAGAGGAGCGGCTGGGATGATGGAGAGGGGGTAAAGGATAAGAGTAGGGGTAGGGGGTGAGGTAAGGAGAGGGGTAGGTGAAGGGAGAGAGGTAGGGATGATCCTCCCTTAGGCAGGGGGTGGGACTAGGCTGATCTCTGGAGGTCCCTTCCAGCTCTGCTTCTGTATGTTTCTGCGAAATCCACCCTGGGGGAGGGGGGAGGAAAAACTACCACAGACCCTGACACAGGAGTTGACAAGTCTGCTGAGGTGCTTGGGTTTTCTTTTCTTCTCTCCTTAGAAGGAGTTTAAATGCGTTTGGTGGCTTTGATCAAAGAACCATTCTTGTGCCACAGGCACCTGCCTAGGTCAAATTGATCATGTTAAGTATGCATGTGTGTGGTGTGTGTGTGCGTGGTGTGTACGCGCGCGTGTGTGTATATGTGGGGGGTGTGTGTGCGTGGTGTGTGATTGCCTGACTGATACACGCAGTACAGCAGTTCTGTTTGCATTGCCAGGACCTGCAGGGAGTGGAAGGTGAGGACTGCACAGGGTAGTGCGCCAGATTGAGAGCCAAGGCTGCCAGCGAGAAGCTGAGCCAAGGACCAGCCAGTGCGCCCTGACAGAAGGGGAGCCTGGGAGGAGGCTTCAGTGCCACTGGCACACAGCCTCTCTCTGGGCTGAGCGCAGTCTGGGGCTGATCTGAGGCAGTGCCCCAACACCTGGATCCATGGAGAACCTTTCCTCCCTCTCAGAGCTCAACTCATCCTGCGTGGGTGCAGGTGAGGCTGTGGGCTGCCAGGAGAGGTCCCGGGGTGAGCTGAATGTGTCAGACACTCTTCCCATCCCCAAATTCTACATCGCGGTGCCCATCATCTACTCAGTGATCTGTGCCGTGGGGCTCACAGGGAACACGGCAGTCATCTATGTGATCCTCAAAGCCCCCAAGATGAAGACAGTGACCAACATCTTCATCCTGAACCTGGCCATCGCTGATGAGCTCTTCACCCTGGTGCTGCCCATCAACATTGCAGACTACCTGCTGCTGCAGTGGCCCTTCGGTGAGTTCATGTGCAAGCTGATCATCTCCATCGACCAGTACAACACCTTCTCCAGCATTTACTTCCTGTCCGTCATGAGCATCGACCGCTACCTGGTAGTGGTGGCTACCATCAAGTCCAAGCAGGTGGCCTATCGCACCTACCGTGCGGCCAAGATTGTGAGCCTGGGCGTCTGGGCCTTGGTTACACTCATCATCTTGCCCTTTGCTGTGTTTGCCAAGATCCACACAGAGCAGGGCCGCCCGCAGTGCGTCTTTGTGTTCCCGCAGCCAGAGAGCTTGTGGTGGAAGGCTAGCCGCATTTATACCCTCCTGCTGGGCTTCACCATCCCAGTCTCCACCACCTGTGTCCTCTACTCAGCCATGCTCTTCCGCCTGCGCCGCCTGCACCTGCACAGCCACGCCAAGGCCCTGGACAAGGCCAAGAAGCGAGTGACGCTGATGGTACTGGTCATCCTGGCTGTATGCCTCTTCTGCTGGACCCCCTACCACCTCAGCACTGTGGTGGCACTCACTACTGACATCCCACAGACGCCGCTGGTCATTGGCATCTCCTACTTCATCACCAGCCTCAGCTATGCCAACAGCTGCCTCAATCCCTTTCTCTATGCCTTCCTGGATGACAGTTTCCGGAAGAGTTTCCGTAAGCTGCTGGACTGCGGGACATCCTCGTAGCATGCCCCAAATCTGCACCCGCCCGCCATCACCCCTTCACTCCATGCCAGTGCTCCCCTGGCAGATCCTGAACAGCCACCGCTGTACTGCAGGGCTGTGGGCGGGCTGCCAAGCACTGGCCCAGCAGTGACTCCACTCAGACCTGCAGCATGAGGGAGGCTTTCCCTTCTGCATGGGGAGGAGTCAACCAGAGTTGGCTAAGGGAAGCAAAGCCCAAATGCTTTTGCCATCTGTGCTGCAGGGGAGAGAGAGGAAGGAGGAGGGGGATGCCTCACTCAGCCAGATCTTAAGCCTGCTGGGTTTAGAGGTGCAGCACTTGCAACTCCCTATTTCTCAGCCCCACACCACTGAAAAAGGAGTCCACACTGAAAACTGAGAAGGGGGTTCATTGTGAGCAGCACTCAGGTTTCATTCATGACAAGACTGGGTGGGAACAGGATTTCTTAAAACCCCTCACTTCCCCCGCTGAAAGGCAGCCAAGGACTATTAGGGATAGTCCCTGCTCACTCTGGACTCAGTCTGGCTCAGGATTGTGTAGAGTCAGAGAAAATCAGGGCTGGAAAGCACTTCATCTGGTCCAAGCCCCAACCTGAGTGTCAGCTACAATCCTAACAGGAGGTCACCTCATTTCAAAGGCAGTGTTTCATTTAAGAAACTGAAAGCCTGGAGTCAGTTCAGCTTCTTTCTTTTAAACACAAAACGTAAACATGCCCAGTAAAGTGCCTGTGACATGCCACTGCCTTCCCCCACTCCAATAGTTGGAGAGCTTGCCCAGCTCAGAGAGAGCAAGCAGACCCGTGCAAGCAATTTGGTGTGTGCTCAGAGCCACCTGTTGGTTGAGGGGAAGGTTTCAACACAGCAATTATTCTGTATTCCCATGGGTTTGGCTCCCATCAAGGGTTACTTTGAAGTGCAGTTCCTTCATCTAGAGCCTGGTCCATATGCTTTCACACAAAGGATTTTTCTTTCTTACAAAGACTTAAATCTCAGAGGTAATTCTCAATATAGCCCCCTACTTCAGAGTTCAGTCATTTTAAAGCCATAGAAAGATAGCACAACAAACCCATTTTCCCCCTGAGTTACCAGTAACTTGTTAAGATTAATACCACTACTAAAAGAACTAAGACAGGTGTTCAAGACTTTTGCTCTGCATTTATAAAACTTTTCTTTTCTCTGACCTTAGGCAATGAAAGGAAAGCGCTGGGCTTCAGTTTCAATAACTCTGCATGCTCAGAAACTGAAGGGAAGATTCGCTCATCTCTTCTCCTAGCTAAACACAGAAAACAGACTTGAAATAGTAAAAAGATGGTTGTAACCATATAAGATTTTGCAATTTGTGAAGGCTGTGGTCTGGTGTACAAGCAATTTGTACTGAGGTAGCACAAAGTTGTCTGAGTCGGGGATGAGGACTCCCACCAGTCTTGATGGTGTGGTATTAACAGAGATGAAAGTTGCAATATATGTTCAAATAGAATTATTATGATCATTTTTTTGCCCCTAGAACTAAAAGCCTACAGAAGATCCTACTTAGAGAGCAATAAAACTAACATTTTTCTCTTGGGTATAGTAGAGATACTATTTTCTTTTCTGGAACAAGAGTGGCCATAGCATGTTATTTTACGTTATCCAAATTAAACAAACAAATAAATAAAAAGACCTGTACTTTAAAAGCTGAATGTTTGGAAAACACATTAAGCCAGTTCTTCTCAGGGTGGCATTTCCCAATTAATTTGCAAGACCTATTCACACTTTTCATATGCATGGTGCCTACAACCTGCAAATTAATGCTTGTTTATGTAAAGTTATGCAAATTTACCTGATAGTTGGAAATGTAAAAAAACTTATTCAGTTAGACTGTAACCCTTTTCAGGATTGCTAATAATGTATTAAGAGCATGGTGTGTTTGCATATTGCTTTCAACTGCTGCATTCAAATTAAAAGCATTATTCTACATTTTAAGAGCACTCCAATTTATTAAATGTAATCCTGTCTGTAATAGCAAACAAGTAACTCTATGTAATATACATTTAGGGCTGAATTCAGCCTCTACTTCTGCAGGGGTGGAGGTTTCCCTGACAGCAGAACTGTTGCATTTCCACTACACGGTAGGGGAGGATAGGGATCACAGAAGGGTTTCATAATCCTAGCATAGTACAAAACTCAAGTCTAAAGATGTCCTCTGTATGCCAGTACATGGGACTTCCTCCATAAACAGAATAGAAGTTCTATGAAGGCTTATGAAGTTTTCTAATACCTCTGGTAGCCCCTCTTCAAACAAACCCCTGAATAAAAAATTTGTCTAGTTTACAGGGATTATGCAAACTACAGAACACCCCCACCACAGAGAGCTAGGCTAGTTGCAAAATCTATTCTTATCAACATCCTAAAGCTCTCCAAGACATTCAGTGCCTGTACTAATAGCCATTCTACTACAGCTCAGACAGAAACTGTTAAGAGTCCTTTGGAGAATGACTTCTTTAAAAACCATATTTTGCTTTCATAAAGTCAGTGGGAGGTTGCTAATGACTTCATCACATGCAGAAGTTGGCCTTCAAGCCAGTCCAAGGGGTATGGAGTATAATATAACCAGAAGTATACTGCGCCTCCATGCATTTTGCAGCTTGCAACAAAACAGAACGAAAATTTGAAATCAAGAGGATGCGATAAGCTTGTACCCATGATGGCACTTATTTCTGATGAATGACTTCCTGATGCAAAAAGACGTGAGTGCCATTGAATGTTAGTGTCAAATGCATTTCCTGCTGTGATCCAATACACTCTCCAAACTGTGAAGAAAGACAGCTTTGTAAGTGAAACATTATTTAAAGAAAATTAGTATTCTCAAAATGCTGATACGTCTGAAATCACATCTTTAAGACATTCTGCACACATTAGGCTTTCTTGTTAATGCAGACACAAATCAGATTGTTGTTTAGAAGAATGTAATTCAAACAGCATAGCTCAGCTGCCACCTATCCTGTATCTAAAACCCTAGGCTCCTAAGTTCCAACTGGCAGCGTCCCTAGGCACCTACATTTATTCCTCTGCATATGCATGCAGATATCCCCAATAGTGCTGAAATGGCTAATATGTCCAGAGCTCTCACACTGCTGACATCCCAGCTTCTCTTGCCTGTGGAACGTCAAACAAAGAACGCCTAACAAACACATGTACAACAAATATTACAGCAAATACAATTTAGGTCAATAACTTCATACATTTTTGTTGAGTGAATGTGACAACTGCTCATCGATTCAAATTGTGAAACAGTGTCAAGGAATCAGTCTCAGTTCGAGCACCCAGGAAGAAGTCTTGTATACATATGATCCTTAAGGGTAGGTTTTAGAATGAAACAGACTTCTCAGGCTGAAAACAGAAGTTTGTTGTGGCATTAGCTATGCCAGTATGTGTCCAGCAGGACAACTGCAAATGGGAAAAACCTGGGAATGTGCACCTCTGGAATCCCTGGGCAGGGAAGTTCCAGCCTAGGTCCACCTGTTTGCAGATGCATATCCCAGGAATCATGCAGAAATGGATTTCCTGGACATGCATATCACACTGCCAATCCCCAAACTGGGATGCACCTCTGCAAATGGGGAAACCCCAGGGTTCCCCTGAAATCTTCTACCTGGGGTGTGTCTGCTAATGGGGGAACCCAGGTTAGCCTGGTCCCCTGTGTCCCAGGAATGGCAATTCCTGGGATACACAGGACAGGCCCCAGAAGTATTTGCCTGCAGTGGCTGGGGAGTGTGGGCACCTTTGCACTGTCCCTGTTCTGCCATAAAATAAATAGATATCTGCTGAAAAAGGGTGCACAAATTTATACCACCCATTGTTGCAGCCACAGTTTGGGGCATTTGTGGTGCAACAAAAGGCAAGGAAGTCTGTTTGCTTAGCTTTTGTGCTGTCATAAATTTTTTTATAGAGACACAAAGGTAATGTCTGTTTCTAGCCTCAGTAAACCAGAATAATCCATGTCTGCTATCCATGCAGTATACTAAAGCCCTTACTTCAGTCCAGAGTCTATAAAGAGGATATTCTGTAAATCAAGGAACCAGATAGCACAGACATAGAAAGAATAGGTGGACCAGGACAAGACCAGAAAGAAATATTGACTGCTATCCATGGTCTTCTGGAACTTCAGTACTAAACATAGGGTGCATTGTCCTTATATGCCCTGTGATGATGATAAATAGGTACATCCCTTGAAAAATCTAAATGAGGCTACTCTCTAAAAAGGGATCCAGTTAGAGGTTAGACTTTTGGCCTTGGCCTAGGATATGAATGCTTGTCTTTGTCTCTGGGGATAGATCTGCCACAGAGACCAAACACTGACCTTCCCCCTATGGCATAATGGATTAGATATGATCAAGAACGCAGAGGACAGAGGTGGAATCTTTTTATGCTATATACAATAGGAACCATGTGAAGCTCATTCCAACTGTTCGTTGTCGTATTTCATGGTCATTGATGTGGCCACATGCCTATTAAACATGCATCAATTTTTTTCATTAGCAAATGAAACCATTTTATTCGGCTCTGAAATTGCGGTCTTTAAAATGGATCTGTATTTCCTACAGCTATTTCCTCAAGAAGGATTCCATTCTGTTGAAGGAGGAAAGTAATTCTGATGACAAATAAAAAAAGAAACACTTCAGTGTGCACTATTAATTCTTTCTTATTACATAATTGCAACAAGATTCCTAAAAGAGATATTTAAGCCCAATTTCCTATAGCATGCAGAAGATATTTGACACACTGCTGTATAAAAATACTCCTTCTGTTTCCTATTCCTTAATCATCCAGGTCAGGATACCATAAGGAATTCTAGCTTCCCTGTCAGGCCTGATTTGCTGAGAATGAAAGACTTATGACATTCTTCTAGATACTTCACCATTATGGTTATGCCACCACTGAAATATGTCTGAATGTTTTGGCTTAAATTGATTCTGATAATCCTATTACTGACACTTAAAAGCCCTATAATTCATATCTAATACCAAGTACACCCTGAAATGGCCAGCCTTATTCTGTTTCTTATGAAGCTGCAACTTGCCCTTTTAACCATGATATTTGCTGTATACATTTAGCTCTACCATGAATAAAAGGGGTTGAATACAGTTACCAATCCAGCATTTCTCCATACCCAAGACTGCCAGTCCTTCTGCACATTTACCCCATGAACTCTGTTCTACAAGAGCTGTGTTGCACTTTCTATAACCCTATTCAGCATTTAACATTATGTTCTGCACAGACTGCACCTGTATGTAGTTCACTTCTCCATAAAATTAAGGAGTACTTGTTGAAATCCCCAGTGTTCCATTGTTGTCCATTTTTTTCTGTCTGAAAGGATAGGAAAATTTGTGACATCTCTGTGGTAGGGGGATGGTTTCTGATTTGCTTATTGCCTGCTTCAACATTTTAGCAGCATTCTTCCTGATTTTAAACCTACTTCTGGTAGGTGATGTAGAAACATATCATGCAGTGGGAAGTTTAGTTGCTCAGTCAAGTTGGCACAAGCAAACTTGCAGGTCTACCTGCAGTACCATCCTTTGGCTGATATATTATGCTGTGACCAAGCTCTTTATATAGATTGGTAGAACCCTTCCATTTATTTATCTTTCATGGGCTTCTGAAACATATCTTCGATGGATTGCCCAGCCTGAAAAAGATTTCTGACCAAATAGTGGTACCAAGGCTTAAAAAAAAAAAAAAAAAAAAAAGAAAGAAATCATGCCCATACACAAGCCTGTTACGTACTGAATACTGTACTTAAAAATTAATTGACTGTACTTGTTTTTAAAAGAAGGCAGTTGTTATGAGACTAAATTGGTACCCAAGGCCTCTGACTGATCAATCTCACAAATTAAAATTGAGGTGTAGCAAAACAGGATAAAAGTTGCAAAGTGTAGCCTTGTAGAAATGAAGTAAGTTAAATTTCTTTTTTCCCCCCACAAGACTGAAAGAAATAATGAATGCACCCTCTGTCTCTGCCTTGGCAGGCACTTTGAAATCTGAAGGGTTAGTCCTTCAGTCAATGACTGACAGAACAGATGGCCAGTGCTGCTGAGAGGGCACAGAAAGAGCAAGAGAGGACTGATCACAGAGATGCAAGAGAGGAGCACAATTCAATGAGATTCAGATATTAATGGAAGAAGGGAAAACATAGGCTATGGATTCCTAGAAATGAGAACATTGGGAGAAACTGAGATTGGAAGCTCACAAACTATTTATTTGTTATGGCCCTGAGCATGTTTTTGAACTAATGAATAATTGCAGGACCTTGGTGAGGAGTGGAGGTGACAGAGTAAGTATTTGCATATAGTGAACCCCAGTGTGGCCAGTACTACCTGAAATGCTCCCAGTGGAAGAGGAGACAAGCAAGATGCAGAAGATGAGTGCATGCAGGCACACCATTTGTGGATCTTTCTTTCCTTTCTCACTCAATTTTGTATGCTGAGTTTCAGTTTAACAGTTTTTAATCGGTTATACTTTAAATGGACGCTTTGTAAATTAATAACTGCTAGTGTAACTGCTTATTTTTGCGGAAGGGGGGAGGGGGGAGTCCCCAGAGATACCTGTAACTAAACTGATATTTTCCTAGTCAAATTGGTTTTTGTTGAGTTAATTGCAAAGTAGTCTGTAGTCACATTTATGCAAACAGGCTTCATTTAAGTATCAGTAAAAAACACAAGTCGTTTAAAAAATTAAATTGTGTGTCAAAATCATTAGCTCAGAGACTTGCTTAAATTGAGAGTAAGCAAAAACTATACATGTGGAAAAAATCGATGTTAAAAACCTTTAACTCATATAGTCTATAATATTAGTCAGGTAAAATATATTCCCTAAAAATCATAAAATCTCATCTCCTCTCAGAAGCTCTGCTTTATTTAAAAAACAAAACAAAGAACACAACAAGGAGTAGTTAAAATAATATGGCAGATCCC